TATAGAGCCTGTGATTGATGCCCTCTGTTCCTCTCTTTCATTGTCCCACGTAGATATTGATGAGTGTAACAGCGGGGACAACCTGTGCCAACGTAATGCCAACTGTATCAACATTCCAGGCAGCTACCGCTGCGAGTGTTCGCCAGGCTTCAAATTGTCCCCCACTGGGGCCTGTTTGGGTGAGTACCAGGGAGGACGACAGATAGAGGCAAATTTTGTTGAGAATGTGAGGAAAATGGAAAACACTGAAATCCCTTGCTGAGTGAAAGTTATTATAGTTTGCATACACAGGACAGTGGAAAATCTAATAAAGTATGTTAATTTGCATCAGCTTACTGACTAAACACTACGTCATCCACGGTTTGGTTTTAATCTGTCATAAATAACCTACACACACACATTCAAAAATTCATAAAACAAAAATGTTCAGTCCAGTTGAAAGTCTGAGCTTCTCTAATGTTAGAATTGGCTGCTCCTGTGTATTGCATGCTGCTATAAATTTAATATTGTTTGATTTCAGACTAAACAAGCAATTTGAAGACATGACCTGACTTCGGAAAATGGGCATTTTTCAGCATTTTATGACTTATAGGCTAAATGATGAAGAGATTATTTGACTGCTACAGCTGCTGTTAATGTCAGCCCTATACTACATTGTTCTTTTCTGTCTCGTCCCAGACCGCGATGAGTGCCAGGAGATTCCTAATGTATGCAGCCATGGCAGGTGTATTGACACACATGGCAGTTATCGCTGTCTCTGTCACAATGGCTTCAAGGCTACTGCTGACCAGACCATGTGCATGGGTGAGAAGCCAACACTGAACTAATACACTGTGTTTCATGAGTCACCACATTAAAAAGTACATTTCAAGATGAATCATTTTGAGTCTAAAAGTCTGTTCTCAATGTTTATTGTAGACATCGATGAGTGTGACCGACAGCCATGTGGCAACGGAACCTGTAAAAACACAGTGGGATCTTACAACTGCCTCTGCTTCCCCGGCTTTGAGCTCACGCACAACAACGACTGCATGGGTATGAATAATTTACTGTTCTTCTCTGTAAAGGCCAACAGCATTTAGTGCTTTCCTCTAAAGCTCAAAGTCAAAGAGGTTTGATGTTATACGATTAAGGATTTTGCCTATAAATTCCAAGAAGAATGATGCTGCCCTTTTCTGTAGAAGTATTACATTTGGACAGACATGAAATACAATTTAGACATTGAATTTGAGTGTGTTTTGACTTTTCTTTGGCTTTATAGAGAAATATATCAGACTTCATTTAAAATGATCTCTTTGAACTTTGACAGGAGAACCCAAATGAGCTTTTTCTTTTTTCTCATTCAATTTTTATCTGTTTCTGGTGGTTGTTGATGCCCGTTCAAAATCCTAATCCTCTCAATGTTCGTATTCATACAGACATAGATGAGTGCAGTGTCTCTCAGAGCCAAGTGTGCTTGAACGGACAATGTATCAACATACTTGGTTCCTTCCAGTGTCTCTGCCATGAGGGTTTTGAGAATACACCAGATGGGAAGAACTGTGTTGGTAAGTCAGTGATTAAATGTAAAAGGGGGACTCTGTAAGAGCAGGGTGGGACACAAAAAGATTCTATAGGCTTTCATACTTTACAGTTTGTATGACATACTGTACTGTACATGACGGTGTGTTTTCTGATTTGTACAATGTCCTGTCTTTCACAGATATCAACGAGTGTTCCAGCCTCCCTGGCACTTGTTCTCCAGGAACTTGTCAGAATCTGAATGGATCCTTCAGATGTATTTGCCCTCCTGGCTATGAGGTGCAAAATGACCAGTGTATAGGTAAGACACAACATACAGGGGAGGACACTCTTCAGGGAAGACAAACGCTTCACAAATATTCAAACCAGCTTGTTGGCCAGAATTATGATACACCTACATTTAAACATCAGGGAGGCAGAGACCTTAGTGATTGGGCCACATCTGCTCCAACACACTGCAACCCTCACACTGAACATACGCCCACCCCTCCTCCTCCCTGCCCTTTTTGTAACTTCCTTCCAGATATCAACGAGTGTGAGGTGGAGTCCAACATCTGCGAGTTTGGCACCTGCACCAACACCCCCGGCAGCTTCCAGTGCTCATGCCTGCCGGGCTTTGTACTATCTGACAACAAACGGCGTTGCCACGGTGAGAGAAGCTGCTAGCTACCATTAGGGCACAGCGGGCAGTGCTGAAAATCTTGAATCTTGAATTTAATGGCACTTTGATATATTTCAACCCCCTCACTGAGGAGATGAAGCTGTCTTTCTGTGTCTCATGGATTTTAGATCAGCTACACTCTATTCACATAAAAACAACAGTATTCTGGATTTACTAGAATGTTTTTTCCCTTTTGCTAGACACTAGAGAGAGCTTCTGCTTCACCAAATTTGAAGCTGGAAAATGTTCTGTACCCAAACCTTTCAACACCACCAAGGCCAAGTGCTGCTGCAGCAAGATGCCTGGAGAGGGCTGGGGTCTTCCCTGTGAGCTGTGCCCACGAGAGAGCAATGGTGCATAGCGCAGACACACATGCATGTTATAATTAAGACATATACATGCACACAGTGACATTTGTAAAATAACGGTTTAACTTTTTTTTGGTGTGTCTCCAGCTGCTTTTAACTCTCTGTGTCCCTACGGCCACGGAGCCCTGCCTGGACCAGATGATACTCGTGAAGGTGAGTGCTGCAACGTTGATTTAATCCCTTAAATCTAAAGGATAAAGTGTTCCATCCATTTAAAAGATATGTAAATTTGCTCTTGCTTTCTCCAGATATGAATGAGTGTCTGGATAATCCGGGCATCTGCAAGGATGGCATCTGCATTAACACGGATGGTTCATTTCGCTGTGAATGCCCCTTCGGATTCAACCTGGATTACACTGGAGTCAACTGTGTTGGTGAGATGGTTTCTGCAATTAAAGTATGCAAACTGCAAGCTTTTTATATAACTAATACTTTGTCACCAAGTGATGTAATATCAGCTTTACTACAGTGGAACATTGTGGGGTATTTATCATGAAACAGCTGCAGTTTAGCAGATGAAAAAATAAATGGCTGCAGGATCTGAGAGCTTTATTGCCATATCACAGAATGTATCACCAGAATCAGTCACTGTGATGTTATTTCATCCTTTTTCCTGCATTAAAGAGTGATCTATTTTGGATCTATTGTAGGGCTCATGTTTAAGCCCCTACTGACTGTGTTTAACATCTAAAGTACAGTATGAATGTTTCAGTGGTTTTAATTGTCTCTTCTGTCTGCCCCTATGTTCTGTCTTCTCCAGATGCTGATGAGTGCTCCGTAGGAAACCCATGTGGAAATGGAACCTGCACCAATGTGGTCGGAGGTTTTGAGTGTTTCTGCCAGGAAGGCTTTGAACCCGGACCCATGATGACTTGTGAAGGTCAGTCTCACACACACAGTAACATTCACGCACATTTATGCAGCTGAAATTATTTTCTACATAATTTCAAATTAAAGTACGTTTCCCTTTCCTTGATTTCAGATATCAACGAGTGCTCCCAGAATCCTTTGCTTTGTGCTTTTCGTTGCATCAACACTTTTGGTTCCTATGAGTGCATGTGTCCTGCAGGCTATGTGCTGCGAGATGACCAACGCATGTGCAGAGGTGAGAAGGCAGGGTGTTCTGTTTGCAAACAGTCACTTCTATCTGACTGACTACTGTACTCTCTGTGTGATACAGTAATTCTTTGACAAATACTTAAACATGATTTAAGAGTTCCCGTTTTAGCTGGCTGCTGTAGTTGCACATTTCTTGCTGTTCCCCCCCCCCAGACCAGGATGAGTGTTCGGAGGGACTGGATGACTGTGACTCCAAGGGTATGACCTGTAAGAACCTGATTGGTACCTTCATGTGTATCTGCCCTCCTGGCATGCAGCGCCGACCAGATGGAGAGGGATGTATGGGTGAGGAAAAATATTTCAAAAAGAGAGAGATAGTTCACTTCACACATTATTTACTGGCCGTACTGGATTTTTCAGCTGTTTCACCCTTTTCATCCTCCTGTCCTTTGCTCTGTATGCGGGCAGACCTGAACGAGTGCCGCGCCAAGCCTGGCATCTGTAAGAACGGGCGCTGTATCAACACGGAGGGAAGCTACCGCTGCGAGTGCAACGACGGCTTTGAGCCAAGCTCCACTGGAACCGAATGTATTGGTAAGATCACTCCTGCTGGTGAACATGTTGTCAGACTGCGGGAGGGGGTGAAGGCGTCTCAGCTGAAATAATGTTTGCACTCCAGTTTTAAATTCAGCAAAAAATGAACAATCATGTCCTTTTTTCATTTCACTCCCTTTGTGTTGGTTTTTCCTTCAGACAACCGAAAGGGCTACTGTTACACTGAGGTTCTGCAGACAATGTGTCAGCAGTCGTCCACCAACAGGAACAGTGTGACCAAGTCTGAGTGCTGCTGCAACACAGGCCGAGGCTGGGGCTTACAGTGTGAGCTCTGCCCCCTGCCTGGTACCGTACAGTACAAGAAGATGTGTCCACTGGGACCTGGCTACACCACCGACGGTAGAGGTGAGAAGCTCCATAACAACAAGTGATAATATAAACTAAAGCAATGACTTGTATTTCTCACTTTTTGATGTATTTTATAACAGGTACGATAATTAAACGAATACAACTGACTGCTTGTCTAATTCAGATCACTTCCTAAAATGTTTCTGTACTTCCAGACATCAACGAGTGTCAGGTGATGCCAAACTTGTGTCAGAACGGTCAGTGTATCAACACCATTGGATCCTTCCTCTGCCACTGTAATATGGGATACAAAACAGACTTCACGGCAACCTCCTGTGTTGGTATGGGCGATCGCTGTCTTCTCAGTCTCTTGTTATCAGTCAGTCTGGTCTAAGAGGATTTGAATTTTATAGTTACTCACTATTGGCTCAGAATTTCAGCAATTTATTGACAGCACTGGCATCAGTATGTAAATGTTTTGTGCCAATATTATTAAGTGTCTGTGTCTGCATATTTCAGATCTAGATGAGTGTGCTCTGTCTCCGAAGCCCTGTAATTTCCTGTGTAAAAACACAGAAGGCAGCTACCTCTGCTCCTGCCCGAGAGGATACAGCCTCCAACCAGATGGAAAGACCTGCAAAGGTACATGGAGTCACCATCTGTTTGGGGCAGTGTCTAAGTATCATTTTAACATTTGTGAGGCACTATTTAATTATATCTTTTTAAATAGTCAGTTATGTTAAGTAATCTGTGTTACTTTCAACACACCACCAGGCCGGGTTCTGTTTGTTGCCTCACTGTATGATAATTAGAACCATTTTCATTAGTACTGTTTGTTACAATTAAAATATTTCTGTAATATGATTTTTACATGTTTTACGACTTTAAGGCTTCAACCCTTTATGTGATTTGGTTTTTTTAATACAGTAAATGCTTTGTGTTTACCCTCAAAGATCTGGATGAGTGTTCAACCAAACAGCACAACTGCCAGTTCCTCTGTGTCAACACCATTGGAGGCTTCACCTGCAAGTGTCCTCCTGGCTTCACCCAGCACCAGACTGCCTGCGTCGGTGAGTACATGACAGGAAGCAGTGCACAAAAAAAAGTCTTAAGGAAGAAACTAAAAGCAGCATCGTTAATTCTAATGAATTTTGAACCTGTCTCTTTTGTCTTTGCAGACAACAATGAGTGTACTGCTCAGAACAGTGTGTGTGGTTCGCGGGGCTCTTGTGTCAACACACCTGGTAGCTTCAACTGTGAATGCTCTAAAGGTTTCTCTTTGGACAGCACAGGTTTGGAGTGTGAAGGTGAGCAGTGGACATATATTTAGCTAAATATACTTCAGACAGGCAGGTCTCTCCCTCAGTCTTTTCAAACAACAGCAACACCTAGAACTGTGTTGTACTAGCTGCTGCTGTTGGTGATGAGAAAGCAAAAGTCTATTTAAATTTCCCTCAGATGTGGATGAATGCAGCAACAACCACCGCTGTCAGCACGGCTGTCAGAACATGCTGGGAGGTTACCGCTGTGGCTGTCCGCAGGGCTACGTGCAGCACTACCAGTGGAACCAGTGTGTGGGTGAGTGACTGACTCAGTTTGTTGTCCTGACAGGAGTGAATTAAAGGCACCATTGGGGGTATTACAGGATGGCACAGAAGAACTGGGAAATTAAGCAAGGTTGTGTGTTATTTTCTGAGTGTCATTATGAGACAGCAACAATATGTTAATTTTTTAGTCTAATTTGTTATACTATCCTAGATGAGTCAACAGAAATGTAGTAGAAATGAATCAAGAGAAGTAAGGATCAAGTTCATCCTTAAATTATTAGTGTCACTAAGCAGAGCTAGATCAATACAGCAGCAGATAAGTAAGAAACTTAGTGCAAAAATCCAAAATGTCACCATTACATAGTTTAATCCAAGTGTGTAGGTTGGTTTTTCAACTGTAAAATGTATCCTGAAATAAATGTTAATCATGTTAATATTTAACACATCAGAACTTAATATAATGATATAAATCATATCAGTATGTTAGTGTAAATCATGCTTAGCAATGCACAAATTAAAAAGCCTGTTGTTCTCAAATAATTTAAACAATTTATTTATGTCAAGATCATTTTCATCATCACATGACAATATTCATAAACCTGTAGAATGTATTGATATGTCTACATTTGTTTTGAGTATGCATCATCTCTTAACACACTCCCCTTCTTGTGCTCTGTCTCTGTCTTTTCCCTGCAGATGAAAACGAGTGTCAGGCGGGTTCAGTGTGCGGCTCTGCCTCCTGTTACAACACACTGGGCAGCTTCAAGTGTGTGTGTCCTTCAGGCTTTGACTTTGAGCAGGGCGGTGGTGGCTGCCAAGATGTCAATGAATGTTCCTCAGGCAGCAATCCCTGTGTCTATGGCTGCTCTAACACCGATGGTGGCTACCTGTGTGCCTGTCCCGGAGGTTTCTACAGAGCTGGACAGGGGTGAGGGAACAGGAAACTGAGGTTTCCCAAGTGATGTCGTATCTCTCTGTGTTTCATGTGCTGGGATTATGTGCTGAATTTGACAGGAGTTTCCTCTCTTCATATTCAGTACACTGATCTCTCTTACTGTGTTTGTCTCTTTCCAGTCACTGTATAACAGGCTCAGGGTTCCCAGGCCAGTTAGTGGAGGGCGAAGATGATGACAGTCTGTCACCTGAGGCCTGCTATGAGTGTAAGATCAATGGAGGAGGAAAGAACGGACGACACAAGCGCAACACTGATGAAAATGACCTCAGCCAGGTACATGTGTAGACAGACTGTCTCAGTATTTGAATAAGAACTTCTCAGTTTCAGCATAAAGACTGGTTTACGTTTGATTTGCTAAAGAATTTAAAGTCGTCCCTCTCTCTTTGTCCTAACTATACTATAGGAGTCTGCAATGAGTATGGCCAGCATTGACACAGAGGCCTCCATCCCAATGAACCTCTCTCTGGCCTCGCTGCGTAACAGAGAGCCTCTGCTAGAGTTTCTGCCCGCCCTGCAGCCTCTGGAGCACCATGTACGCTATGTCATCACCCATGGCAACACTAATGAACACTTCCGCCTGTTGGAACGCCGTGATGGAAAGAGCGTGCTCCAATTCGGCAAGAGGTCACCTCCACCAGGATCCTACCGGCTGGAGATCACCAGTCTGCCACTGTTTGGGCCTCGAAGACTACACCAGCTGAAGGAGCAGCATGACAATGACTACCTACAAGGGGAAATAGGAGGCGCCCTGCGCATCAAGCTCCACATCCACCTGCACTGAGTTCAAAGTGCGCTTGCAATCTTGCTCTGGACGGATTCCTAAAGCCTTTGAGTTTTAACCTGCCCTTCAATCTAATAACTCCTCTGACCAAGCTCCCCCCTGCAGGACCATTCCCACCAACAGGGAATAATCCAAGGGCTAAGAAAGACTGATCAGCCCGACTCTACCACCACTTTGTTACGTTCATGTTATTACACAGTATGTTCATGTTTAGTGTTTTTTTTTTTTTGCCCTGGCTACATTTCCTCTTGCACCTCTCCACTCCTACCAGACCCAGCACTCATTCCCCGCTGAGAGATCCAGTGAAGGAGATGGCAGAGAGGAGTCTTTGCTCTTGGACCACAGCACCAAATAAATAATAAATATGTATGATGATATTTAAATCACTGTGCTGGATTTAAAATGATGTCTTTGGTCTTATAAAGAAGTGATATTAACGCCAAAGAGAAGGTGTCAGGTGTCACCATGGTGGTCCAAGGACTCTCACATCTCTCTGTGATCTTGCTAAAAATCCCAACACTGGGGAACAAGGTTTATCATGTCTTTCCCTCTCGGTATTGTACAGTGCCATTAATGTATTTGTGCTGTTTTAAAAGAAATGATAACATAAAGGACTGCAACATTTACACAATATTTCAGGTTCTTTAGTAGTCTGTTTTATAGCTGGATACCAACCAATTATCAGATACTGCAAGCTGCGTTCTGCTCTGTTGTGACTGTCTTTTGCCCTGCCTGCTGGCAGCGGCGAGCAGGGATTAACATGTTTGCGTGTGTGTGCTGTCATGTTTAGTTACCTCAGAACTTTTTACCGAGTATGGACGCCATGCTGTGATGCTGACTTTAAAACAAAAGAGGGTGCTAGTTTCCCTCAGCATCCATCATGTGCAGGGAATACACCAGTATGTAGCCCATGCTGTAGCTCATAAGAAGATAGACCAGGTCACGTTTGTATTTATCCTTTAAAGGGATTAAGACTTGCACTGATTCTGGACCTGAGAGCCAGCTTTTTCATTAAGTCTAAAGTCTTTTTCCCTTGTTGGCTGTCAGAGGCTTATAGCTTCTCCTGGTTCAGCACAAACCACAAACTATTAAACATAAAAGCTTCAGGAGAGCTTCAGCTGTAGCTGACAGCCTGGGCTGGGAGGCTGAACTTGACAATAAGCTGACTTAATCTGACTTCTTTGAATTTACATTGATGTCTTTACCTCGATGTCTGAGGGCTGAGCTTTGTTTACAACACAAAGAGACACACAGCTGAATACAGTCATATTCTCAAAGGTACATGACACATTAACATTACCTAAGCTACAACTAAGGGTGGTGCTTTACAGTGTAAAGGCACATACAGGTCAATGCAAAACCTCACAATAACAATATATATGTATCTGTCAGGTCAGCTTTAATTTCTCATGATTTTTTTTCTCTTAAAGAGAAAAAAGGTGCTGATAATGCCATCTCTTACGCTGTACAATAAAAGTGCAGTCTTGAATCTGGATTGCAAAAATGACTTTTTTTTTTTTTTTTTTTTTACTGTTGTCATGTTTGTGTCTTTTGCATTGTCTCAGTGCTGAAAAAACAATATTATCAGACTTGCTTCTTAAAAATTAAAATGTATATTTTAAAGTGAAATGTAGATTTTTTTTATGTCAAGGCTGCCAAAATACTCACAGTAAAGCAAAGACTGAAGGCCTTTAGTGCTCCTGACTTTGCTTTGTTGAGGAAAAAAGAACCCAGACATTTGTTGATGAGTAAATGAATTAAATGAAAATACAAATCAAGAAAGAATCAAATCAAAACATGCCAGACTTTCATTTAATTAACATTCCCATTCTCTATTATCTCATATAAGCTTACACTGTCTGTGTGATGCCATAAGGATCAATGCAAATTTGACTATCAAGCTATGGTGCTAAACTATTTTTTTTTCTTAACAGTCAAAGTTGCTGCACTGGCCCACGGCCTAGGCAATGTTTAGAATACATAACCATTTTGTAACATGGGAACCTTTGTATACTTTGTATCTTTATTGTCCATTTGTAATTTTTCTTTTATTTGCCTGTTTTTTTAATGCAATGTGCTTTCTGTGTCTCAGCTTCAGTGTTAAACTTGAAACAATACTGTCTTCATCATCATCTGTTTGCATCAAAATATGTGCATTATAACTCAGAAAAGAACCTGAAGTTTCAGTAGTTTACATGTCCATAATAAGCCTGACATCTCTTGATACCAGTGTAATGGAAAGCAGAAATGATCCAGCCACACATCTACTACCTAAAGATCAATAAATCAATCAGCCATCATTGAACAGCTTTTAATATCCTGTATATGATGACCAAAGATTTATGACACCAAGTGGCAGTTTGTAAAATTACAATGAATTACAAAAATACTGTAAACTTTTGTCCAGTGACATAAATGGCAATAAAGTATTGTGAGTTATATTTTTAAATCTTGTGTGCTGAGTTTTACTTTTCCCGCAGGTTCGTGTGTGGCTAACAAAACAGGACACAAGATGACAAGTAAGTAGTAATCATTTTATTTGACTTCCAACACAAACAATGTGGACCCTCCACACAAATATAGGTGGAAATTAGAGAAGAGTAACTGGAGAAGAAAATTTTTTTAATTTTACAGATTCAATGCAGCGTATCAAAACCAAGCAGATAGTCAGAAAAATATGTAATTACAAAGCACACAAAGGCAAAGCTACCTGCCTTGCCTTTTTCTAAGACGTGGGTGGCTGCATGACTACCTCAAAAATCCACAGTCTAAAGATTAATACAGTAAGAGGAAGGGAACAGAGTGATAGCAAAAAGGAGACTCTTAAACCTGAGTCAAGAATAGAAAAATAAAGCTTTCTTTTGCCTAAAGGTCGCTGTTTGCATCATCACCACATGGCAGGCTGACTAAAGCAAAAGACACAACTAAAGTACATAAACTCTATTTGCAGTAATAAGAGATTATATTGATTCAATATGGCTTCTCAGTTATAGACATGGTAACACGCAAAACATACACAAACAAGACGCTATGGAGACATGAACTACCTGCGTGGGCCTTATAAAGCATCTGGAACTGCAGTGCCACTCGAGGATCACTGTCCAAAATCAAAACAAAATGATTAAGGATTTGCACTTCTTGATCAGCACTTAGCACTTAGATGCTTTGTAAAAGGCCTGGGTTCATTAAAGGGGCACCTGCTTTAGTGTAAACTCCTTCATTTAAGTTCTGCGTGTTGAGTGTTCTCATTGAAAATGTAGCTTTGAAATCCTAAACTATGTTGTGAGTGAAGGTGGTGTGACAGGTAGCAGAATTTAGAAAACCTAGTACTGATGTGATGCAGTGGTGTGGTGGCATGTTGGCCTGGTACAGTAGATCAGGTTAAGGCAGCTGTGCAGCTCATTATGTCTGTCCTTTGTGGTTTGGGTTGTCGGGTGTGCCTCTTGTTGAACCAGGTTTGTTAGGGTTACATAGGGTCCTGCAGCCTAATATTTACACAATTACAATGATATAAACCAGGTACACTCCAGCAACAGGTAAATCACTGTCAGGATGTATTCACAATACTATGTATTGTTACTGTCCATCTCCACTTCTAAATTAGACTATGCTGTAAAAGATTCTGACAGTGTGCAATTAAATATTTCCCTTTCGACACTGGCACCACGCACCACCCTACACCAGGGCATAGTCAAACTGGCCCCTCTCCAGCCCATCCTTGTGGTCAGTCCAGGACGATGCAGGCATGCGGCTGTAGGGATCCAGCAGGATCCTGAAGCACCTGACCAGCAGGAAGACCAGGAAAAGCATGAGAAGGCCTACGAAGGCCAAGGCAGTGCGCTGCTCAGTGTCTACCCCAACCAAGGCTAAAGGGGGGCTGCTGCTGCCACCGCCAGGACTGCCAGGGAGGGAGGAGCTAGCTGGAGACAGCAGCAACTCATAGTCAAGTGTGGGAACATCGTTCATCCTCCACGGGGCCCGAAGACAGGGCTTACACACTGACTGGATGGTTGGTGTGTTGGGAGGAGGGGTGGAGAAGGAAGGGAAGGAGTTCATTAGGGCAGGTGCAGAGAGAGAGGCCAAACTGGAGACTGGGAGTTTGATTAGAAAGCTAAATAAAAAGGTAGTTTACACTTACACTCTGTTGGGGGAAGGGCGTGTGGCATAAACAAGAAGTTAGATGGCCTCAGTAAGAACAATAAGACTGCAGTACAAGCTCCAGTGGAGAAGGAATGATTTATCTAAGATGTGTGTATCTGATCACAGCACATGCCTTCTCCTCTGGTGGCCAATTTATTCTGTCAAATCTAAAACAGTGACATGACTCAAGCAGGCCTGGCCCTAATCTGCTCCGACAGTGAGAAACACACATGCATATGCAGACTATTCAAATAATGTGAACTATTTTTTAGCGCTACACATTTTGAGGAAGTAACCGAACAGTTCAATGAAGCTCTATTGCTCTCTTATTTGAGTGGCCGACCATCAGGCAATAAATTTTTTTAGAGTATTTATCAGGGTCACTCTGCCACATCAAATCACATTCTCACTCTCAATCGGAACAGACGGGGCGTGACACTGCCTCTTACTAATACACACACACAAACACGTGTCTGGTCACAGTCAAGGTCAGTGCTCTCTTTGGCAGTTAACGGTGTTCACTATGGCTGCTTGTGTGTTATCCTAGGTAACAGTGGCTAATTAGATCAGAGAGTCAGTCGATCATTTGCCCTGAATATAAAACAGCACATTATCTTTGCCGATGTTGCCTACTAGATGCAAAGTTTTCCTTTCGCTGGGCTAGCTGAAGCGTGGTAAGTGGGTCAGAGCTGTCAAGTGTTGAAGCAAGTCCTTTCACTGTTTCCCTTTGGGATGATCTCTTCAACAGCTGCCTCTCTTGACAAGCAGAGAAGTGACACGAGACAGAAAATGATTTAGAAGGTTTTGAGAAAGTGAGTTTGTGTTTTGTTGTCAGTCATAAAAGTGACTTCATCCAATTTGATTTTCAGTTTACTGAATGAAGAATCTGTTTATCTGTCTCTTCCATCAGCCTTCAGTAGACATGACAGGAGGGATGGTAACAGACTTATTGTCATCAGATGCTCCTGGTTAAGCTGAGGAATCACTGCAGCTCCCTAACTCACCACCTGCAAGAATAAGAAGCACCTGGTTAAAAGCACTGATAACATCCAGAAAGCTGCACTAATAAAGCTCTAAGGAGGACATTAAATTTGCACAAGAGCAGTACAGAGTCAAATCGCTTGAAATAAGACTACAGGCATTGCACAACTTCTCCATTAGTTTGATTATTTCTAATGAGAACCATAAGGAGAAATTTAAGTCGTTTGTTCCTCAGTTCATCATACAATCTGATTAGCATGACCCTCTGCTCAATAAGTAACAGTGACAGCAACATTAGCCATCTGTGGGAAAAACACCACACCAGCATCCCCTGTAATGACACTCAATTAGTGAGCTGATTATGGTGTCATCATGGCCACATTAGCAGTAATGAATACATGATTATAAACAGTGATACCGCACTGCATCACCCTCATTTGTCAGTGCACTCTTAAGGCAGGCCATTTGTTCACTTGTTGACCCCATCTTTCATTTGCTTACATGATGGAGGGATAAACAAAATGCTGTGAAGCCTCATTAATGATCTAAAATCATCTCCTGTGGCGGACCAGATTTCAAACCAATGAGGAAATGTCATTTTTACCTGCTCACCCATCTGAATAGAGTGGTGACTGGGCTATTTGCTAATACAAACGTGATAAGGAGAGATGCGGGGAGTGTAGGGTGTGTGTGGGGAGATGGTTAAGAGAGACAAAGACGAGAGGATCCGGAGGAAGGCATTAATAGTAAGGGCTTTTAAATGTTAATGTAACAAGGAGAAAAAATGAACAAAAACAAGGTGCAGAGTTTAAACAAGATTTGAATTTATAACAGTTAAACAGACTTAGATTTTCCCTTTTGGAAAAAGCATCAGAGGATAAAAAGATAAAGAAATGACTGACTCAGCATATCAAGATAAAAATAGGATATAAATGAAGAGAGAACAGAAGGATGAAAAGAAATGATGAACATTTAAAGAGGAATGAAGCAGAGGTTCCTATGGCGAACGGGCAACAGAGATGACAGGAGAGGTGTGCTGGCACAAACTGGCCGGACTCTTCTCTGCATGGCCATGGCACAATGCCTTTTCCATACACTTTCTGTCTCTGCCTCTCTGTCCAAAGGTTTTGTATCTGCTATTTCATCAGCCAGTGTCTCCAGGGTGCTTGGTGCATCAGACTCAGGCTGGCAGCAAGATGACACACCTATTGGGTGGCACTCACACTGCGAAAGAATGTGCACCTCTACTGTATGTGTAGAAATGCACTAGCTGTGTGTGTGGGTATGTACATCTTTATGTCCTTGTGAAGACATTTTGGACTGTTCTGTATGAGGATTAAGACTTGATTTAAGGGTTCAGAGTAGAATTAGGTTTAGGTTAAGGGTAGAGTAAGGGGCTTGGGAATGCATTATGTCAATGAGTGTCCTCACAAAGATAGTTATACAAACGTGTGTGTCCAAGCGATTCCAGCCTTTCACTGCCTCTGAGTGATGTGAGCTGTAAAACCCAAAAATAGTCCAGAAAACCTTGAAACGTTTTTCAAGGACACTATAAAAATTGACACTGTCGCACATCTGTTATTAGCTTGTGCGAGACTTTTAAATTGATAGTTTTACAACCGAATGCGTAATCAAATTCTCAGGCTTATTAAGGGTAATGTTGTTCAGCATTTACTGTATCACGGTCCTTTCATGACAATAGCACTTTGTGTAAAATAAACCAGGCCTCAGTAAAACCACCCAGCATGGAAATCTCTGGGTGCAGTTTAGTGCTTTGGACATTTTTAATCCCCGCTCTTATAACGTTTTTCCAATACCTCAACCTGAAGAATGTATTCTTTTTTTTTTCTTTTTACAGAACCTGTTTATTTAATGAAATAACCCCTAACTTGTCATCACTGTTGACCCTGACTTACAAGCAGCTAAAGAAAAGCTTTGTCTGAACAAGCTGCAGTTAAAAACCCTGCACATGTGCAGCCAATGAGGTTCTTTACACTTCTGGTCAGGTTGTCAAGTTCAAGTTTAAACTGTCAGCCTGTGACAGTAGGAAAGCCCAACAAATCCCCCAGAGCAAGCACTTGGTGACAATGGGGACATTGTTCCAGGTTGGGAATTTTTATCTCACATACACTTCACACTCAAAATACAGATTCTCAAAAAACCTGGTTAAGGGTAGATATAGTAAATACTGATGTACTTTAGACACAATTCTTGCACTGTACAAAGTGGCTCACTGTTAGACTATCGTGAACAGAACAAAGCCAATAAAATGACATGGGGGACCCCACCAAGTGTCCCTCTGCCACCAGTGTTACAATATGCAAGTGTCACTTTTCACACATTTTAATCTGTACTCAAAAAGTATAAATTTCCAATATGTGACTACTCACAACAGATGTCACAAGAAAACATCTAAACAAAAAGGTAAAGACAGACCGGTCTAATCCTGATGTGAAATACTCAGCCCACTCACACACAAGTATCTATTCACATACACTTGAAACACAAGTGGGAGCTAAAACACAGAAAACAGAACATTGCTGCTGAAACCCACACACTAGGATCATTTCCATTTTGAGCGTGAAAGGAGCACCTAAAAGGTACAAATGTAACCTTCTCATCTCAGCCTATAATTATTTAGTGGCAGCGCTTTTCCATTATCTCACCAACTCATCAATGAGAAAGATGACAGACTGAGGGAGATGGGTTTAAAAACGAGGAAAGCATTTTTTCTTTGAAACTTATCCTACACATTTCCAGGTTCACTATTACATATAGTGCATCGATTTAAGTAATTAACTATTAATGGTCAGTGCAAAACAATGTAGACAGAATGGTTGTTAAAGGAGCCGGAAATCAAACATGACTCTACAGGCACTAAGAGGTTTATTATTGGGTTGCAGAGCTGCTAATGGGGAAGATGGCTGTGAGGTAGAGTTAAGACTGAGACTCTAGGTCATCAGGGAGGATATACACAATAGGTCGCAGGTCTCTCCAGGTACTGACTTGGTTCAACCCTGAGAAGATCAGGCACACCCTGGAGATAGTGACCCTCTCCAGTAGCAGGGGACCAGGAAAGGGGTAGACAGATAAGCTGGGGTCTGTCGGAGGTTTCTTCCATTAAAGGGAGTTTTTCCTCCCCACTGTTGCCAAGTGCTTGCTCAAGGGGGATCTGTTGGGTTTTCCCTCTGTAATAATAGTGAGATGGAGCTGCCAGGCAAGAAGTCAAGAGGAAGGCCAAAGAGGAGATATATGGATGTGTTAAAAGAGGACATGAAGTTATTTGGGGTGAGTAGAGGATGCCGAGGATAGAGTTAGGTGGAAACAGATGATTCGCTGTGGTGACCCCTAACGAGAACAGCCGAAAGAAGAAGAAGAATAATAGTGACAATAGTAAGGTCGTAAAGTGTCCTGAGATGATTGTGTTGTGATTTGACACTATACAAATAAAATTTGATTTGATAAGTAACAGCAAAGTTTAAGTTGGCTGCTAAACCAATCCCACACAGGGAGGGGAAAAATACTTCAACAAAGCAGCTGGCCAGGTTAACTAGAACACTTCAGATGGAAAATGTGATAAAAAATTGTGCACCAGCATTATTACTCCATACAAAGGCAGTCACCAAATGTCACGAGGAGAAAAAAAAACTGAATTTAATCACTGAATACCAAAGACAGTCACCAAAACAGGCTGTTAGAAAAAACAAAATCCAAAAGATAGTTCTCAGGTGACTTATGGCAGTAAGTGTAACACTGGAGGGGAGTTGAAGTAGGCAGAAAACAGGTCTGGTGAACAGATGGCTGAAGAAAAAAAAAAGCAACTCAGCAAGTGCCAAGTGCTAGGCAGCCATACAGTCAGGGTCAGGCTGGGTGTAGATCAGGTTGCAGGTAAACAAGGGACAGGTTCAGAGAACAGGTAAAAGGAAACAACAGGACAGCACTTCATGCTGCAAAAATGGCACAGGTGAAAGCAGGTAGGTAGGTTAAGGGTTTGGTGACAAAGATCAAACAGGCAGAATTAGTGATGGGTCCGGCAACACCGATGCGTCGCCACATGCGTCGAGCTCGTAGAGCAAAACCCCGTGTCGGTGCGCGTATCGCTTTAAGAAGGATCCTGGGACCTGGCAATACCTTATTTTCCAATATGAGATCAAAATGGTCCCACACGGCGTAAAAAGCGTAACAGACTCAATTTCAAAACGTTGGAAAAACTTATTTTTTTTAAATAAAAATTTGTAAAAAAAAAAAGCCCAGTCCACAAGCATCCTCATTCATAACACGTTCATTTAGATTTTCACGTTATGATACATGTTCACATTATTTATTGACTGTATCTAAAAATATCAAGGAAAGTTTAAATTTAAATGAAGATATGAAATAATACAATATAAAATACAATGACTTAAATTATATTATTGTATATACTAGGTCATCAAATCAGTGTCGGTTGAGTCTGTCATCTAGGTTGCCTGTAGGGATTTTTAAGGTCCAACAGGTGTCAGTATTCAGTGACACAGTATCGACACAGTATCAATACAGTTTGGCAATGTGTCGAAACGCTTCATGACGCCTCATCTACCCATCACTAGGCAGAATGCAGCAGGGCCGGTGATAGGTGATGACAAGAATGCATGACACAGCCCAAAATGACAATCAGGCAACAGGAGCACAGAAACAAGTCAGTATATGTAGTGTGGAGATCACAAGCCACAGGTGAGTGGAATCAGCCACTGATTGGCAGTAGTGAAGCTGGGAAGAGAGTGAGATGGTGAGAAGCTACTTTCAAAATAAGAGTCCCCAGCAGGAAATCTACTATATTTCCTGCCTTTACGACAAAATTTTGTTGAGTCAGTGGTGAAATAGTTCATGGACTCCCAAAATGCATGTCTCTCTCTCTCTCCCTCTGTGTGTATGTGTGTGTGTGAATAAGTCATTGCCAAGATAGACAGAGATTGCTCAGCTTATTTTCCTCATCATTAAGCCTCACTCCTAACATCCCCTTCCCTCAGCCTCACTGGCCCACTCT